GTTGGGAATGAGGCTAAAAAGTTGTAAGTACTTCCAAATTTAAGATCTGGGGAGTCAAACTAATTTGATCTCTCAAGCCACTTGGTACAATATGTGTGTGTGTGTGTGTGTGTGTGTGTTTGTACATAGCTTTAGAGTTCAAATTTTTCTTAATTGTTCTTGTGTACTGTGAATTAAAAAAAAATGAGAAAGTTCATCAGCATTTGGGGTGGTGGTGTCAGGAAACCTTATTGGGCTGTGTCTGAAAGGAAGAGAAGACTTCATTGAGGTAGAGGTGAAGAGGGAAAGTATTCCATGAAGTTCACATGGTAATACTAGATGGTCAGTGCAAAGGTATGGGAGATACAATGTTATGTGTGAGGAACAGAGAAGGCCAGTTTACTAGGATGATAGAGGGCAGGCAGGGCAATACAATGAGGCTTGGCACGTATGTTGGGACCAGGTTGTAAAAGGTTTTAAGAGCTCAACCAAGGACTTTATTTGGTCTAGAGTGACATCATCATAGTTGGGCTTGAGGAAAATCAACTTTGGCAGCTGCATGGATGATGGATGATGGACGTGCAGGGCGGCCAATTCAGAGGTTGTTGGAAAATGTAGATGAAGGGTGCTTAGGTCTTGAACTAAGGTGGTAGCTATTGGAGTAGAGAGAAGAGATCACATGGGAGAGTTGCTGTGGAGGCAAAAATAGAAAGATGTGGCTACTAGATACGTTGGAATATGGTGGAAAATCAGTTAATCTCTATGAGACTTAGTTTCCTCATTTTGAAAATGAGAGGATCTGGGTGACCTAATGTCTTTTTCAACTCTAGATCTCTGATTTTATATGTAAATACAATATTGTATCAAAATTGGAGATTTTAGGTTTATCAACCTTGGAAAAATGTCCCAAGCCTCCTTCTAACTCTACATACTGGGTTCCTACTTTATGGTACATGAAAAATTAAATAAATGGATGTTGAATTTGTACAGAATCCTGTTTATCAGGATTTAAGTAACCATAAAGTTCAAGCAATCAGGGTCTTGACTGTAGTACTAAGTTGTGACTCATTTTCGTAAAGGCATTGCAAAGGGCTTTTGTCAGAATGATCAAAGAAAGATTAAGTAACATTCAGTTTAGATTTCATGATAAGTATATTGTATTGTAATACTTTTAAGCCATGTTGAGTCAACAAGCATTTGTTAAGGGCTTACTATGTGCCAGACACCATGCAAAGTGCTGGGAACACAAAGAAGGGCAAAAAAACAAACCCTGCCCTTAGGGAGCTTCCATTCAAATGGGGAAAGTAACATGAAAACTGGCACTATAGATGATAGCTCTATGTTAAACCAAATATCCTATTAACCATAAGCTCATATTCACTATTCATTCTTTTATTTTTCTCAATTATATGTAAACAAAAATTTTTAACATTTTGTTTTTTAAAAATTTGAGTTCCAAGTTCTCTCCCTCCTTTCCTACCCTTTCCCCTCCTTGAGAAGGCAAGCAATTTGATATAGACTATACATGTGTAGTCAGGCAAAATATTTCCATATTAGCCATGTCACTATTTATTCCTGATAATTAAGAATAGCTCACAAAAGATTTGCAAAGCCCTTTCATCACTACAACCCTGTAAGGTATGTTGTATACCCATTACCCCCATTTTGTAGATGAGGAAACTGAGACTCAGATTAAGCAATTTAGATAGCTTTCACTTGTATGTGTCTCTTAAATCTAATGCCACACTTATCCCCTCACATCATTCTGCTACAAGAAATTTTAAAGCAGGAATATAAAAGAAGTGTATTCTTTCTCAGACATTGTGGATAAAGAAATCATATATTTCACTAGAACTGGTATATTTTAATTTTGCCAGCCTTTGTAGAACTTTATTAGAAAAGAGTTCGTACCAGAACTTCCCTTTTTTTTTTAATTGGTCGAAGCTAAAATTTGAGTCACACAACTTTACAGAGTACTAGGTGGTTGCTAGTATTAAAAGCAAAATATCAGATAAAATGTTGTTGATCAGGTAGTATATAAAATAATCCATTTTTAGAGCTGAAAGGGACCTTTGAGATTATGCAATTCAAATCCTCCTTGTTTTTACCAATGAGGAAACTTAGTCTCATGGAGGTTCAGCAGCTTGCCAAGCTCACACAATTAAGAAACAGAGGCAGAGTTTGAAATCTGTTCCTCTGACTTCAAATCCATCACATTTTTCACTGTACCACATTGGTGAATCTTAACTTCAATTCCATGCATTTATTTTTTTGATATGTTTTGTATTTAACACTTCCCTATCTGCCTACCTTGCTTCTTCAGGTGCAGGCTCAAATGTTGTCTTTACCCATTTGAGAAACATGTGAAGGTGATAGCATTCCTAACAACATTTCTGACCCCCCCCCCCCCCCCCCCCCCTTTTGTGTTATTGACTGTTACTTGTTAGTCTTCTGAGAATTGATAGAACTCTCAAGAAAGATGCTATTTGCTTGATGTTACTTAAAAGTAAAAAGATAATCACATTGTTTCTTACCCTTATTTTGTCATCCCTATGCATTAGTCATATAGAAAGTTTCTTTATTATTCTCTGTTATTGCATGAAAATATATTTTATCTTGTTTAGGAAGTGACCAAACAAGTTGTGGTGTATGATTGTGATGGAGTACTATTGTGCTATAAGAAATGATGAATAGGATAGTTTCAGAAAAACATGGCAAGACTTACAGTAGGACTGATGCAAAGTAGAGTGAGAAGAACCAGGAGATCATTGAGCACATTTTCATCAGTGTTGCAATGGTTATCAGCTTTGAAAGACTTGGCTACTCAGATCAGTATAATGTTCTGAGACAATTCCAGAGGGCTCATGATGAAAAAATGCTAACCACCTCCAGAGAGAGAACTAATGAACTCTGAGTGCAAATTGAAGTATAGTTTTCTCACTCTCTTTATTTTTCTTGCTTTTTGTTGAAATATGACTAATATGGAAATGTTTTGCGTGATTTTACCCGTATAATTGATGTATTGCTTGCCTTCTCAGTGGTTGGGAGAGGGGGTAGGAAGGAGGGAGATAAGTTGAAACTGAAAATTTAAGAAGAAAAAGATGTTTAAAAATAAATAAAAAAGGAAAAAGAAAAATATTGTGCCTTGTTAATAGGATGAGGATTTCAGTAACAGGTGAAAAGTGCTTTAGAAAGCCATTCTGAGGCCTTGCAAGTCCCAACAAAAGAAGGGACCTTTTTATTCTACTTGGCAGCTGAGTTATTTACTCTGAACTGTTACCACAAACAATCACTACCTTCTTGAGAGATTCCATACCTCCTTATTGTGAAGCTGGGGTTCATGTGGCCTCACCCACATTTGAAACAGTATCTTATCCAGTGTTTTTTGGCCACTTCCAAGTATAGGCTGTTCCACTTCTGATACTAGGAAGAATATATATGATAGGAGAAAATGAGAATTGAGTACATGTATTAGAAGAATGATAGATTAGGAAAAGGAATGGAGTAAATTCACTGCAAGACCCATCAACTTGTCTAAAATTAGGCAAGCAGGTAAGATTAAGTTGACTACAAATTTGCCTCAACAAGAAATTCTAAAGCCAGGCGAAATCTCAAGTTTTAGATGGGATATGGTAATGCTTGCATAAACTTCATGAAGCATAATACAGAAATCAGCAGTTGTATTTGGATTTGGGAAAGTAGGTCCTTAACTTTTTGGTCTAGTGAAGCCTTTGGACCTGTTCTCAGAATAATGATTTTGAATATATAACCGAAAATACATAGGATTACAAATACAGTTATTAGGATGTTAAAATAACATGTTTATAGACCCTACTTTAAGAATCTCTGTGCATTTAACATTGACTCAAGTCTATAATCTGTTTAGAATATAATTTAATAAATTTCCACAATTTTATGAGAAATCACAATGCTCAAAATTAACTGCCCAGCTCTAGCCAGTACTACTTTTTTTTTTTTTCATTAGTAGGGTCTTGTCTTTTTTTTTAAATCCAACAATTACTTTGGTTATTGCTTCATCATATTGCGAACATATGCATAATTTGTCCTGTGCATTCCTTAAGTAAAGACTTTTGTGTCAAAATTAAGAAATAACATCTGTGTGGTTTATGGAAGGATGAATGGAACAGAGCTGGCCTTCAAGCCAGGAAGAACTGCATCCTACCTGTGACCCACAGTGACTGAGTGACCTTAGGCAAGTCACTTAATAACCTTAGAGTTTTCTAGGCAACTTTCTGAGACTCTAGGTTGCAGAAGAGGTGCCCAACCTTTGTTGTTAGAGATAATTCTTCACTGGAACTCCCTGTACCAACGGCATCACAGGTCCAGTCGTTATCCTGTCTCTGTGTGGTAGATACTACAGTAAAGATCAGATTCCTCGGATTGGAAACTCAATATCATACTTATTTAGTATTGTGTGATTACAGTATAAGAAATTTTTAGGACTGTAGTGTGTTTTCTTTCTTTTCCTTTCTCTCTCTCTCCTTCCTTCCTTCTCTTCCTTCCTCCCTTCCTTGACTATTGGACTGCAATGTACTTCAGGAACTAGAATTTATGGCTGTGTCTCTATTTAAATAGTTTGTGGTCCTTTTTATTTTGTTTGTAATGATACAGGTTATTTTCTTGATCTGAAGAGCTACTCAAAAGATTAAATAAAAACACGGGTACATTAGTGTGGATATTTCCTTCAGTGATGCAGAATGCAACTCCTCCATTCCTGTCCATCTATCCATGCCCAGCTATAAACTTGCCAGAGGGGTTCCACCCATTGTTCTGAGGGACCCTCTTGACATCGTAAGGGTTCCAGCTGAGCACATGGGCTGTCCATTCCTTACTCTCACCGTGCAACTAGTCTGGCTTCTTGGTTGATAATGTTTATTTGATGAGATCCTTTACTCCAGATTCATAAATCTGAAAAATTAAGGGAGTTTGTCTCATAGTAAATAGGAAACGCATTTTAAATTTGAATTGATTTCTTAATTTGTTTTATTCTATTTTAACAGATGAAGAACACCGAGAATCGTCATGCCATGAGTTCCCAGTACAGGATGCATTCTTATTATCCTGCTACTTCGTACCTGAGCCAGAGTGTGTCGCAGATCTTTGCTTTTGAAGACAGCCCTTCTTATTCTGAAGCAAAAGCAAGCGGTAGGTGCCTGGTCACCCCGATCCAATTTTAGATGGAGAAAAGAGTCTCACACTGAGGGAATAGTTATTCACTAACTGGATAAGATTCAATAGTGTTGCAAAGTTTTGTCACAGATTGATCTATTTTACAAAGATTCTTTTAAAATCATCTTTTAAAAAAAATCACTATTTCCCAATCTAATGTACCATTTTAACAAATCAGTATAGTTAATAAAAACCAATCAGCACATTGATCACATTTGAAAATGTATGCCTTATTCCATCTCTTTAGTCTTTTGAGGTGGAAGGGGAGGGAAGCATCAGTCCTCAGAAATCATCATTGGTCACCGAATTGTTGTTCTGATCTCTTTCAGTATTGTTTTCCCATTTGTTGTGTAAATTGTTCTCCTGGTTTGGGTCACCTTATGATTCTTAACAAAAGATAGTTTTTTCTGATATTTCTGAAATGAATAGATAAAGACTTTAGTTTGAGATATTTTCATTTGTATCTTTTTACAATTAGAAGTTTAATCATGATTAATGTGTGCTTCTTGATCATAAACTTGGAATATAAACATTTAAAGATAGTTACAATCATAAAATTATTTCTGCAACTGGTTTCAATGTATTGAATATTTTTCTAAACTTTGATTTTCTCTACTCTTGCCTTTCCTATTTCTCTTCATGGGAATTCCATTCTCCTGGTTGCTTGGACCTCAATCTTCAAAGGAACCCCTCTCTTTTATCCAAATACACCTAATTGGTCATCATGTCCTGTTGTTAGTTCCTTCAGCAGTTTGTACCCATTCCCACTGCCACTAACCTAGTCAGTAATGATAAATTTATGGCTAATCTATTTATTATTAAAACCTACTAACCCATCTCCCCGTCTCCAGATTCTGTCCTATTTAATCCATCCTACAGACTGCAGTCATTTAATGTTCCTACAGCATCATTTGGATCATATCAATCCCTTGCACAAAAGCCTCCAACGCTTTTTCACTGTCTAGTGGATCAAATTCAAATTTGGCATGTCCTGTACAATACCCAAGTCTAGATAAGTCCTATGTTTGGGGTATTTCCTGAGTTTAAGAAAATGTTGGATGCATAGCCATTTGGTAGATGTTTTATTGTTTCATTATGAATTTTGCTCATATCGTGTAATTTTTAGTTGGTTATTGATTCTATGTTGCATAAAGGCCACTAGATGCAACATCCTCCTTGCTGTCCTCCAAACAAAAGAAAACAAAATTTTGAGCTTGACATTCAGGGCTTCTGTTAAGCCTCATGCTTTCTTTTCTAGCCTTATTTCATACTGTCCCCCCCCCACCCCCAAAGAGCCCTTGATAGCTGATCGTTATTGTTTGATATTTTCCTGTATAGAGTGGGCTTTCTTACCTCTTCACACCTTTGTTTATAACCATTTCCTCTGCAGAGACGGCACAATGTGGTGGACATTTAATTCAGCACCAGAAGGACCTTGGTTTAAATTTCTGTTCACTTAGAGGCAGTGTGATATAGTGGAAAGAGAAATGGATTTGGAGTCAAGGGACCTGGGTTCAAATCCTTCCTCTCCCACAGAACTACCTGTATGACTTTTTACAAGTAACTTAATCTCTTCTTAGTCTCAGTTTTCTCTTCTATAAAATTGAAGGGCAGGAATCTTAGATGGCTTTTAAAGTCCCTTCTAGCTGTAAATCTTTGATCCTGGTGATTTTTCGTAAATCCCTTTGCATCTTTTTGGGCCTTGACTCACTCATTTGTAAAATACGGGAGTTCATAGTGAGTGACTTTTAGGGTCTTTTACAATCCTAAATCTGTAATCCTAAGATTTTCCTATGGCCCAGGCCTCCATCTTAGCTTGTTGAAATTCTGTCTATTGGACTAAATGACCTGTAAGTCTTCTTGATGTCCTGAAGTCTGTGATTCTAAGGCCCATCTCAGATAAAACCTCTTCCATGATAAATCTTTTAATTACTCTAATTCTGAATGTACTTTCCCTGTACCCCCCTCCTTCTCTGTGAACATATTATTAAGAGGCTGTATTATGTGCCAAGTACTGTGCTAAGTGCTTTGTGAATATTATCTCATTTGATCCTTTCATGGAGCCCTTTCAACATATAATTTTATATTGTAATTATTTGTATGCCCTTCTTTCCTTCATACAACTTTATTTTCCACTGCTTCCCAATACCAACCTTATATGTGAGTCAGATTAGTAAATTAATTGAACTTATTTTAGCTTTGTATGTCTTACTATACCTTAAGCACTGTAATTACTCATTCATTTGTTCATTAATTCAACAGTGAACAAATTAATTATTTCTTTGAATTATTTTTTTCTGAATGTAAGTAAGTTAGACTTTTTAAAAAACAAATACATTGGAATGAAAGGTTCTTGAGGACAGGGATGTTTCATTTTCATCTTTGTATGTTCAGCACTGAACACAGGGCCTGACACATAGGTTTTCAATAAATGTTGGTTGATTGATTGGTTGATGATTATGATTCTGTCCTATCCAATATGGCCTATATATTGTCCGATAGAACAAGTGTCTCAGTAGGTTAGAGATTTGTCAGTGCTGAAATGATTGAAATTCATGCTCAGTGAAGGAATATTTCCATAAAGAAAAGTGAGAGCTCTATCGTGTAAACATAATAGAAGACCTTTGAAGGTGTTCGAATTTTGACAAAGGCATGTGGTGAAGGGACACAGAGATTGACAAAGACATATGTTATGAGGGCAAGGGAAAAGGTGATGTTAGTTTCTTTGGAGAGAAGAACTAAGAGTTTATGTTTAATATAGTGCAGCAGTAGAAAAGAAAATGAGGAACTTCAACTTAGGAAGGCACCTGAGGCTGCATAGATTGGAATCAAAAGTGCATCAGGGAAAAAGAGAGGCACTTTGATAAAAATAGTGTGACATTAGATACAATTTTTTAAATAATTTTAAACAAAAAAATAAAATTCAAAAAATGATTCTATGAAGAATAGGAACATCAGCTATCAGTGGACATTTGGGCAGCAAAGATTGTAACTTGGCAAGAAAGAAAGAACAATGTAGTAGGAGAAGAAAAGCAATGGCCAGCATTCATGATAGGACTTTGCAAAGTAACATTATGTTGACCTTCGAAGAAAACCTACATTGACACTTTCTGCCTGAATTAGAAGTTGTTTTTTTGAAACTAAGCTATGTGCTTAAAATGAGCAAGCTTTAACATTCAGATTCTAGTTTAACTGATAAAAGAGTTGCTTCCAGAAGCCAGATAATTGTCTTACATTTTTTATTCATCCTAAGTGACTACTGGAATAGTTTTGAATTGTTTTCTTTTAATATTTCATTTGTAAATACAGTAACTTTATATGAGACATAATTAACAAGGAATTTGATAGTTTTGTGTTATAAACACAGTATAGCTCTATAGCAAAGGCTTCAAAGATTAGGGAGGATGTGATTTCAGCACAGGAAAGAAGGGGCAGAGATGTAAAGTGCTTCTAATAGAGGAAACAGATAGCAGTTTCTTAAGGTATGGATCCATAGGCATCCTAGGAAAGAAGTCTTTCAGAAGTGAATGGTTAAAAGAAGCAGCAAGTAGAGATGATTTTTGACTTATTACTAAGGGGGTAACTAAGCAATCATATGCTGACCTGACTTGAACAATATAACTTTGTAAGGGATGTTTGAATGACATGACATAGAACCTCTCCAGATTGGTCAAATCTGATGACTGTTACCCATTCCTGGTGATTTATATGGGAACAAATAGACCAAGAAGTATTTGTAGTGACTATGAAGTTTGGGATAAAAAATTTGAAACCTTTAGAGGAATAGAATAGGTAATGTATCCATCATGATTAGGAAGTAGGACTTCAAAAGAGAAAGGGTAATTAGAGAAATAAGATCATTCCTGAGACAGGAATTTGGATTTCTAGTCCAGTTTATAATATGGGAATGATGATGGCCAGGGATGGAGTACACATAAGCAGAAGCAGTGAAAATAGATCGGAGCGGGGCTTTAAATTGAAAATGTAGGGGTAGGGAGAAAGCTCTCCCCATATATCTGCCAAATCAGATACCACAGCAAGGACAGTATGAGAAGAGTGTCAGTAGATATGGCAAAGATGTGAGATCTGTGAAGAAAATGAGTTAAAACACATGGTCTTGGGTATCTATACCTAATGCACAGAATACAGCTAAATAAGCAAGCTGAACTTGCAAGGAGGCAAATTTGACCTTATAGGTATAACTTAGACTGGTGTTTATGCCTGGAATATGGCTGTGGAAGGGTATAACTTCATTCCAAAGAAACAGAATAAATAAATTACATTTACCTATTATTATTACCTGTTATCGTGGTCTGTATCCCAAACTCTATTCCTATTTCAGTCTTCTGTCCAAGTAATCTGTAGAATACTAGTAGGATAATATGGACTATTTATTGTTCCATCGATCCTCACCCAAATGTCCTACCGTAACCACCTCTAGTTTCAGGATTTCCTGACTTAAGTGTATCTTCTTAATATACAAGAATAAAATAGTATATACATATGGGTATGTATGTTTTATTCTGCCCCCATATATATATATATATATATATGTATTTTTTTTTATATGAATGTGTGAGTATATGTACCTATTTTTTTTTAAATCTGCACCCTTAATCCATTACCTCTCTATCAGAGAGTAGATAGTATGTTTCTTTATCAGTTCTCTGGAATGGTCATTATATTGATCAGAGTTCTTATAGCTTTCAAAATCATGTGTCTTCACAGTGGTGTTGTTAATGTATAAAATTATTCTCTTGGTTCTGCTCATTTTGTTTTTCACACATTTATAAGACTTCAGAATTGTTAATTTTTTTGTAATATTGATGTTAAAGTATAAATTGTTTTTCTGGTTCTTCTCACTTCACTCTGCATCAGTTTATCAAGTCCTTCCATGTCTCTTTGAAATCTATTTCCTCGTTCCTTACAGCACAATAATATTTAATCACATTCCTATACCACAATTTATTCAACCT